ATGACTGTGAATTTTTCTATTTCTCTCTATAATTCTGTCAGTTTTTGCTTCATATATTTTTGAAGCTCTGTTATTAGGTACATACACACTTACAGTTGCTATATATCCCTGATGTGCTGACCCATTATCAATATGAAATGTCCGTTAGTAATTATCCTTATCTTGAAGTCTACTTTGTCTGATAATATAGCCACTCCTACTTTCTTATGCTGCTTGTATAGTATATATTTTAAACCTTTGACTTTCAGCCAATCTATGTCTTTGTATTTAAAGTGCTTCCCTGAGAGACAGCATATAGTTGGGTCCTGGTTTTCTATTCAAACTGAAAGTCTCTCTCTTTTTTTTTTTTTTTTTGTCTTTTTCCGTGTCCGGCAACGGATCGCAACCCTCAGTGTTGCCCCCGCACCGGGCCGGGGACCGGCAACGGGATTGCAACCCTCGGTGTCGCTCCTGCGCCTCGCTCAGCCAGTGAGCGGGAACCGGTCTGTATGTGGGATCCGAACCCTCGGGCGGGAGCGCCACCGCGCTTCCCAAGCAGCGCACTTATCCAGTGCGCCACCGGGCCGGCCCGAAAGTCTCTTTTTAATTAGACAGTTTATTCCATTTAATGTAAGCCCTGAAATGGTTGAATTTAGGTCTTCTACTTTGCTGTTTTCTATTTGTTTTTTGTTGCTTCTTGTGTTAATCAAGTATATTTTTAGTATTCAATATTAATTCCACATAGGATTTTAGCTATACCACTTAGCTTTTTTAAAGTGTGATTAAATATGCATGTCTAACTTATGAGTTAATTATAGCTAAAATTGTATCATTTCATTTAAATATAGAAATCTTTCAGTGGTATAATTCCATGAACTCTTCCATTCTTTGTGCTATGTTGTAATGTTATTATATCTACATATGCTTTAAACTCCAGAACACAGTATTATAACTTTTGCTTTAAACAGTTATATGTACTTTTTTAATTAGGAGAAAAATACATAGCATTTTATATTTACCCATGTATTTGTCATTTCCAGTGCCTAATCATTCTTTTCTGTAGATTCAAATTACTTATCTAGTATAATTTCCCATCAGTCTAAAAATCTGAGAGTACTTCAGAAAGTTCACGGGAAGATTCATATTGTCTTTTAATTCTATTTTTCCATGAACTTTTTGAAGTGCCCTCACGTTCCATCACTATTTCTTGTAATACCGATTTCCTGAAGATTAATTTTTATTCATTTGAATATGTCTTTTTTTCACCTTCATTTTTGGTTTTGCTAGATACAGAATTCTGAGTTGATAGGTTTTATCTTTTTTTTTTTTTTTCTTTTTTTTTCTTTTTGTCTTTTTTTTTCTTTTTGTGACCAGTAAGGGGATCACAACCCTTGGCTTCACACCGCGCTCAGCCAGTGAGCGCACCAGCCATCCCTATATAGGATCCGAACCCGCGGCGAGAGCGCTGCTGCACTCCCAAGCGCTGCACTCTCCCGAGTGTGCCACGGGGCCAGCCCAATAGGTTTTATCTTTTAACACTTGTAAGATGACTCTTAACAGTCTCATGGTATACACTGCCTATGATGAAAAGCCAGGTGTCATTCATATTGTTTATCTGCAGGTAATTATGACAATTTTTTTAAACTGCTTTCAAGATTTCATCTCTGGACTCCAGCTGTTCAACTATAATATGCCTAGGTGAAGCTTTCTTTGTATTTATTCTGCTTGGAATTGAGCATTTTGCTTTTTGTCTTTTTTCGTGTCCGGCAACGGACTGCAACCCTCAGTGTCGCACCGTACCGGACCGGGACCGGCAACGGGATTGCAACCCTCGGTGTTGCCCCCCGCACCTCGCTCAGCCAGTGAGCGGCCGGTCTGTATGTGGGATCCGAACCCTCGGCAGGAGCGCTGCTGTGCTTCCCAAGCGGCGCACTGTAGCAGTGCGCCACTGGGCCGGCCCTGGAATTGAGCATTTTGTATTTGAAATTTTCTTTCACAAATTTGGAAAGTTTTTGGCCATTCTCTCTTCAAATAATTTTTCTGCCCCATCTCTTTTCCTCACCTTCTGCAACTCCAATTACACCAATGTCAGACTGCTTGATATTATCCCACAAGACTTAAAGTATATTTCTTTTCCTTTAATCTTTTTCTTTCCACCTTAAAGACTAGATAATTTCTAGTGATCTATCTTCAAATTCACTTGTTTTTTCTTTTTTCATTTCCAATCTGCCATTAAGATCCTCCAGTGAATTTTTCTCTTCTTCTTTGGAAGCTGGCCAGTATGTCCTCCAGTGAAATTTTTTATTTCAATTATTTATTTTTCAGCTCTAGAACTTCCATTCAATTCTTTTTTATATAATTTTTTATTTGTCTGCTGTGATTCTCCTCTCTGTTCATTCATTGTGAGTACTTTAAGTCCTCGAGTAGAGTTATAATAGCTTCTTTAAAACCTTGTCTGCTAATTACAACATGTGGGTCACCTTAGAGTCAGTTTCTACTGACTTCTTATATCTTCATTATGGCTTATATTTTCCTATTTCTTTGCGTGTCTAGTAATTTTTTTTTATACTGGGATTTTGAATGATACATTGTAGAGTCTCTGGATTCTGTGATACTCTCTGAAGAGTACTGATTTTTGTTCTCATAGGAAGATAATTTGTTTGGACTCTTGAAACTATCACCCCTGCAGTAAGCAGAAGCTGAAGTCTCTTCACAGTTTTCTTAGCTTCCAGCAGAATTTTTTTTTTTTTTTTTGGTCAGACTCACTGTGGTCCCCCTACATGTATAGTTTAGTGGTCAGTCAGGGATTTGAGCACAGTTTATACACAAGTTATGGAGTTTATTCCTTTTGAGTCTCCCTCCCTTTTAGGATTTTCTTCATGACTGAACTCTCTCTTTTGACACCCTAGACCATGTCGACTAAAGAGTACATCGAAGTTTTAATTTCACCCACTGTATTTTTTAGCTCTAAAATTTTCATTTAATCTTTTCTTTTTTTTTAAATATAGATACAGGTATTCTAATGAAATTCTCCATCTTTTCCTTTGTTTCCTTGTTCATATTAATCATAATTATTTTAAAGTACCTATCTTATAACTTCAGAATCTAGATTACCTGTGGATCTGTTTCTGTTGCCTGTTTTTCTCCTCTATTTCTGGCCTTTTGTTCATTTCCTGGTATGCCTGGTAATTTTTTGTTGAATGCCAAAATTTTTTCATAAAAATTGTAGAAGTTGTCAAGAAAGTATTTGTCTTCTAGAAGGCAGATGAAATACAGGTCAACCACTGTGCCCTAAGTGAAGCCAGGTTTTAGTATTTGTGAGGGCTGTTCTATTTCTGGTTTGTCCTTACTCCTAGAGTGCAGTTCTGACACTTCAGGTGCATAGCCTGTCAGAAGTCCTAACTGAAAGTCTGGAGTATTTGCCAGGGCCCATAAAATATAGCATATCCTGAACTCCAACTTTTGTCTCCTGGCATCACAAGATTATCAGAATCTCTGCTTAGCTTGTTGGCCTGGTTGAAGCTGCTTCCCATTTAGTTTCTTCGCATCTCATTCAGAATATATACAGCTTAACAGTAGGCAAATGTTTCAGTAAGAAATCACACAAAGACTTAGAAGTTCTCTGTGATTCCTTCCCCTCTAGAATACTGGCCTCTCAAGTCCTTGATATCTTGGAATATCAAACTCCAACCCTGTCTCTCAAGCTCAGTGAGACTGTGGAAATCCCAGGCCTCTGATTTTCCCTTGGCTTCTATTATCCTGCTCTGCTAATAGGCAAATGACCCACGGGGAGAAAACTGAGGTACACGTGGGACTCATCTCAATGTCTTTCTCCCTGGGATCTTGACTCATTATGTATTTTCTATTTTGGTTGTTTTATGATGACTTCAAACCAGCTTTTAATAATTATCCATCTTTAATAGTTATTTTTGGTAGTAGTGTTAGATCAATACCACCTACTTCATTATAACCAAAACAAAAGCTGTCCTTGATAACTGGTTTTAGAGGAACTTCTTGCTAAATTTTATTATTAAGTGTACTTGGTAGACAAACAGTAGCCAAAGTATTTTCAATGATCTTTTTGTGGTATTTGTGAAAGAAATGGACCAAAAGTAACAATTTCCCAGAGGACAGCCATGCATATAGCCATCACAACCAGTACTAACTGGTTTCCACATCAGCGGTCTCAGCAAAAAAGTTAATTTGGTGACAAAACTAAGAATCAGTTTTACTACCTTTAGGCTATTCAATACCAAAAAATTCTCAAAAGAGCATCAAGGAGAATCTTTTATTATTCATTGACCTTACTAGCACCAAGGTAAATTTCTCTAACCTCAACATGGTGGCTTCCGTTGTTCATATTTGTATATACTTTTGATATGCATTTGAGGCAGCTTAAAAGATTTATATTAAAAGCTGTGCATTTATATTATTGGTAAGCATTATTATATGTAAGAGTATTATACCAATAAAACTACTACTTATTCTTTGAAAGATGCATGAGCAAATTATTCTTTTGCTAATTAATTTCAAAGAAGAAAGCATAAATGACAGCCAACAACCTGGAATCTCAACTGCCTTTATCACCCAGTCTAAAAAATATTGTAATGTAACCCTCTTAATGTTTAATAAAAACAGAATAAAGATGACGTCCCCTGCCCATTTTGTGCAATCAGCACACATATATACGTGTGTATATACAAACCAATATACATAATAACAAATTCTTTTTTACATAGCCTCTTAATAAGTAACCTAAATGTCTAACAGGAAGCTCTTATTTAATGTTAGTTCCTTCTAATTTGGTTTGCACCAAAACTGTTCAGAATTTACGGTGATATATTCAACCAGGCACTTGTAACCCACAATGATGAATTATTTATTAGCGTTTTAACAAAAGGGGCATTTTCCTGAGTAGTACCTCTATGGCATGTACACTTTAAGATCACTGATCAAGAGTGAAAGGAGAAAACAAACAAAGCAGAGAGAGAAGTAAATTTTTTTTGTTTTTGCAGACTTACCCCATGTGGTTACAATCTTGAGGTTTTCATCATTGATCTGAACACTGCTGGATTGTGTTGGTTTCTGAGGGTCTTTATTGATTACAATCTCCTTCACTGGGTCAAATGTTTCGAATGAGGGAGAGACATACAGTGTCTCTACAGAGGCCTGGTTATAGAAAGTAGAATCTGATTTTGATATCCTTAAATTGGAGCTGATAAACTCCTCTTTTCTTGATGAACAAAATACTGGTAAAGTTGACAACGTTTCAAAACTTTTTATAGCTGGCTGCTTTTCTACAGGTGTTTGCAAAGGTTTTTCTTTTACAGTATTTGTAATGGTACTATCTGATTTCTTGTCCATACTCATATTTGTCTGCAGAGATGGGCTTTTTTCTGAGGCAGAAGGCACAGCATCTATAAAATAACAAATAAGAACTATCATTAAAAAAATTAAAAAAAAAAACAAAATTGAAAATACTCTATTTCAAATCGATTGCCGTTTTAATAAATAGGATTTCTTAATGCCATAACAGGACTTTTTTCCTACTTAGCCCTTCGGCTTTCTTACTATGCTTCTATATCCTGCCTATTTAAAGTATACCCAAGCTATAATTGATGCCTTAGTCATTTGGTGGCTGCCTTCTCCCTCTCTCCTCACTGAAACAAGGCAAGGAAAGTTTCAAATAACCTGTCTTTAAATATTTCTCCCTTCACCCACTTCTCTGTCTCTGAAACCACTATATTTCTAGTGCCTTCAAACTTTCATCTTTTACAAGATAAACTATAGAAAATATGCCATATCATACTGGTCTATCCTTACAGAACCCTCGGCTTCAAAAAAAAGTCTTTTCCCCCTGCGATAAGGATTGTTTTCTTCCCCCCTGTGTCCACTTGAGGCACATTAAAGAAACTCAGTACTTTGGTTAGCAGCATAATTTTAATAAATCCTTTGTCCACATGGGGGAAAAAACCAATCTTTCAGAGCTATTCTGACAATTAGTAAAATGTAAGTTCCATCAGCTCAGGAATATTTGTCCTTTCTAGTCATTAATATCACCAAAGTACCTAGAACTGGGCTAGGAATATATCAGGCAAGCAATATTTATTACAAAGGGAATAGTAAGAAACTGAAATTTAAGGTGGGCCTGATCTAGAAATATGTAATGAATCTGTGAATTATGGGCCTAATCCAAATTTCTAGATGCAAATTGTTATCAACACTCTCAAGGCTAGGGCTTGCTCTCAAATAGTTTTATCTGTACCTAGATATGGAAAGAAAATTATTTTTGAGATTGAGTTCATGAAATGAGAAGTGTAACTAGGAGAGAAAGGGCAAAAGGAAGATTATATCATTTGAAGCTCCCAAAAAGGAAGAGGATGCAAAATTGTGCCACTTGCTATCAGGCAATTATATACCACAACTTGTTCGTACCTCACAACATCCTTCATAATGTTCATTAAATGCTATCACCATCACTTCCAGGCTCTGAGTTATTAAAGAAAAGCAAATTTTCTTTGATTCTAACAACCTTCCTTTCCATTTTCATCCATAGCTGGAGGCTAGCCTGAGCACAATGCTGCTGGTAAATAGCACAGAATTAGACAATTTGAGAAACTTATATTGCTATCACCACCAGGAATTCCATTTTTCTTCAGTCCTCTCATCTTTTAAAACTCAATTCAAGTACCACTTTCTCTATAAAGCTTGCCCTGACCCTTTTCTTTCCTTACCCTCTCCTATTACTGTCTATCTTACCATACATTCTGTTTGGAGCCCTGAGAGTAATTATAGCGCTTCATCTCATTTATTACAAGTCTTGACCCTTACCTGACAACAGTCTCCTTGAGAAGACCTTATTAGGAGTTATCATTGTATCCCAGCACCTAACAGTGCTATTCATAGAGGATGTATTGAATCAGTGCTTGTTGAGTGAAAGAAAAAATTGAAGTACAAGGTTTAAAGAAAAAGTAATGCCTTTGTTTTTCTAAATGGAATATAATTTAACTACTTTAAAAAGTTCAGTTAAAAATACTAATATTTCCTAGCACACTACTAGATTTACAGTATTCCAAAGTACATGTGTATATCACCATATTTACATAAAAGCATTCCTTAAAAGTAAATTTCGGTTAAATACTTTTCCACTGACTTTAATTTTACATGTGAGAAAAACAGGAAAAAATTCCTGCTCTATGTGCAATAAAATCATCTTAAAATTTAGCAATATGTAAAGTAGGGCAATTCAGAATGACAATGATCTTCTGATTAAAATATTCATAATAATACCCAATCTAAGTTTGGAAATTGGAATGCATAAAGTCATCTGTATAGCTGTCATTTTAATGTTTAGTAAAAAGTTTAAAATTAAACAAACGAGGGCCGGCCCAGTGGCGCACTGGATAGTGCGCCGCTTAGGAGGCGCGGCAGCGCTGCCGCCCGAGGGTTCGGATCCCACATACAGACCGGCTCCCGCTCACTGGCTGAGCGAGGCGTGGGAGCAACACCGAGGTTTGCAATCCCATTGCCGGTCCCTGGTCCGGTACGGGGGCAACACTGAGGGTTGCAATCCGTTGCCGGACACGGAAAAAAAAAAAAAAAAAAAAAAAAAAAAAAAAAAAAATTAAACAAACGAAACCTTAAAATTCAACGAAACAAACTAGACTGAAGTCACTCTATCTTTATCAACCCCTTTTCCCAACAGTCTAGGAAGAAAAGACTACTTAGTAGTTGCTTAGTGCTTAGACTTTTGTTAAAGTCTAACTTTTTAATGAATTGAATACTATTGAATACTATTAACTTTTTTAATGAATTGAATACTATGATCTAAAAGAAGCCTGATGACGAATCAAAAATAATAATTTTAAATGTATAGTACATTACCTCAAAGAGAAAAATGTTTGCTTAAACAGAAAGCTAAACAGTCCTGATGATTCTGGAAAGGAAGTTGTACCGAGTTTCTCTGCCATAAGCCTTGTTTGACCCCCGGTCTTACTGTGCAACATGCCAAGTTAAGCCCCTTCAATTCAATCACTACTTTAGTTATTTATAGTTTATATTTAAAAATCCTCCAAAAACTCTCTCTTGTGTCAGTGAAAGTCCAAATTCCTTGGGTTTCAAAAGCCCTCCACAGCTTATTTTCTATTGCTACTCAGGAAACAAACCCTTAGTCAGGCCATTCTCATTATCACTCACACACCCCAAGTGCATTCAGGTCCCTTTGGCTTCATTCTCCTTGTTAACGCAGGTCTTTTGATCTCCATCACAGTAATTTCTCACCCTAGTCTCCAACACTGGAACACCCTCTCCTTCCCTATCTATTTAAATCCTACCAATTCCTCAAGGCCCATCTCAAATAATTACTACTTCTAGAAGCTATTTCTAGTCATGCTTATCACTCCATCCTAATCCTTCCTTTCTCTGAAATAATAAAGTATTTATTTCTGTAAATTCATTTTTCACTTAATTATATGTAACATAGTGTGTATCACATCATATTAAGTTCCTATACTCGGACTTTATAGCCTGAATCAAGCTTTTATAGGAGATATGCAAATGTATGTCAAATCTAACTATTTCTTAATTTATAAATTATCTAATATCAACTTTATATTTTGAGTTTGTATACAACAATGTACACTGTATGTGAAACTTAAAAATAACAATGCTTAATCAAGAAATACTTGTTTGTACCTCCTGTTCTCACTGGACTGTATTAGACTCTGGAGATGTATACAAGTGGAAGTCATAGTTCTTGCTGTCAATAAACTTAAGATCAACGTGGATTTTACATATGCACACACAGAAGTATATGTATGATAAACACATAGAAATAACCAATAATACAAGTTACCAGTTCAATTTTACAATGATTAGAAGATTTTAGTTTTCAATAAATGAATGAATAATATAAAGAATATATTTGTATAACACAGCAATATGAACAAGTTTTAGTTTGGATTCCCCAAAAAGTAGACTATAAGAAAAAGACTTGGATGCAGGTAGCTGACTTGGCTGGTGATCCCAGGAAGCACAAATGAGGAAGTGGGAAAGTTAGAACAAAGAAGGGACGAAAGTCAGTAAAGAAGTATTAATGATCAGGTTACCAAATGAGGTTCAATCCTGCTAGGTAACTCAGAGTTGTCCTTCTAGGGATGGGAAGGTAAAAATTTTTTCAGTGACTCTTGTCCTCAGTGGCTGAGGGTTGGCCCTGCAGCACTGAATCCCTGGCACTTCCAGGCTGCCCTGCACTTAGGCTGAACAACTCTCAAGACCCCAAAGAAGAGCTCTCAGGCAGAGAAGCAGAGAGACACAGGCACTCTTAGTGTATATGGGGACTGGTCACCAAGCCTGAGTTGTACTCAGAAGTAGCCAGTGCGAAAGAAACCGATTCTCACTACAGAACTCCAGAAAGTTTCAGGAACTGGAGAACCAGGTGCCTTGGAAGTCTGAGGACTTTATTTTGAGAGAGGATCTTCACGTAAAAAGACAGTTGCATCTTGCTGCTTGGACATTCAAATACATGTGGAAGAATGTCTGTGGATGCTGAGTAGCCAGTGGATGGGCTGTGGCAGCTCTTCAGCTACTGTCTCTTAGCTTCATAACTACACCCTTCTATACTCTGCTTTATGATACTGGGGCTGGGATACCACAAACCACATTTATGTTTTGCCAGTTGACTTTTTGTTAAGTTTTGCCAACAAGGGGAGCTAGAGGGAGACTGGAAAGCTAGCGTAAGAAGAAAGGAAGCGCTCCTTCCCATTTGCTCCTGCTCCTGACAGCATCACTCTTGTGATGCTCCTTTGGTCCATCAGCAGCATTCTTTCCCACCTGCATCTTTCTAACACTTATAGAAGTAGCTTTATCATTCCCCTTTAATAACATTAGCACCAGCCTGCCAGCATTCCCTCCTAACAGGCTTGGGTCAGAATTTTGGGTCACCACCCCACAGACACCCCGTTCCAAGCTTCTAAATTTTAAGAATTCCATCCTCTTCCCTTTGCTTCCCCAGCCTTAGGGCTGGTAGCTTATCCCTGCAGTTGCTACCTCCATGATATCTTGATATTTTCTCTTTTTGTTTTTTCACTTTTCAATACCTAATCAACATTCTTATTATTAAATTATCTCTACTGTATTATATTTATGTGGTAATGGCAGAGTAACTTCTATTGGGCCAACTCTCCTGTTGATAACAGCTAGAAGTTCCAGATAATATATAAAAGCCAACAACCTGAAGGCAGAGGAAAGTGACCAAAAGTAGGCAGAAACTGGAGGGGGCTCAAGAGTGCAAGGTGATTTCCTGTTTTCCAACTTGTTACCTGAGTTCTAGTCAGCACTACACTGGGTGTCTAAAACCAGGCTAAACCCACAGTCTTACTGGCTTGAAGAACCAGAGAACACACTTTGGAATACCAGT